GAACAGGACTTTTTTCCCTTCAAATAAATTCTTCTCCAAATTTTGAGCATATTTTATATTATAGCTCTTCCTTCTGAAGCACAACATGAAACTTATTTGATTGTATGAGGTAGTGTCAAGAGACAAGTAATTTGCTGCTATAATTTAACTGACATTAAGTTTCTTGATCCTACATAATTACAGTAGGAGGAAAAGTAATTTTATAAAAATTACTTTTTCAATCTATTGCTCATTCTAAAGATCCAAATGATTCATATAATCCTGAACAGGGTGAGTTTTTCATAATCTGGCATCTCATTCTAGATTTTGAAGTGCAATAATCTCCAATAATATTGAAACAAACCTGTTAGCTTGATTTTCTGACTTCCTCTAAACATTAGTGCTATTCTGGACAAATTCACCTTTGATAATTTTCTAAGAGAAGCTTATACAATTTTCTCTTATTTGAAGATTTTTTCCAAAGATATTTATGTGTACCAGTATCTGATCGAAGTGTTCTTAAGTCAAGCATCATCGATTTCCTTTTGTGTTCCTCTCCTCACAGAAATACCAGCTTCAAATATTCATTGGACTATGAAAAACTGAAGWTCACTGGAAAGAACTAAAGAAATTTAATGGATCTCCTAATGTACTTTATTGGTGAAATCTTCCATCAAGTTACTGCCAGTGAAAATCTGGGTACAAATTCCTGTTTGCAGATCTCGGTTGCTCCCCCTTGTTACTCCTGCTTACTGCAATAACTGTGAAATTTGAATCAAAGGCCTATTGGACTCTAAAGATCACTCCTGCAGTGATTCATCACTGTCACAAAGTAGGAATAGGGTTTATTTTTAACAGTCACTGTAATCACATTTGGGTACCTCTGCATGTGATAGAACTATAAGAAAAAGAAAAAATACAGCCAGGAAATAACCATYCACCCTATTTCTTGTTTCAGTACCTTGAGAAAACCTTGGGCTTTCAGCATTCAGCAATGTTGCCTGTGAAGGCAGTACTGGGTTCTCTGGAGCACAAACCTGAGCTTCAGGTCACTTTTGAATCCAGTTTGATGATTTGTGCCATAAGCCACTCAACTGGGTCTTGGTAGACCACGGCCTTCTGGCTTGGTTTTCACCAAAGCAAGTGCAGGCAAGKTCAGACCTTCTGCTGTTTTGAAGGTTCTGAAGGATTTCTGGAGGCTATTGGAGAAGTTGATGCATTTAGATTCAGAGCACTAGTTGGGGGAATTTCTAAATTGCTACATGCATGCATGTGCACAAACTGCAGTACATAGCTCTGGTGTTGGATAAGGCAGGAGCGAAGAATGTTTCTTTATACTCATTGGTAGCAGCACCATAAAATCAAAAGTCCTGTCTGGAGGCAAACCAACTACATCCTCAGAACAGAAACCAACCAGATTTAAATAAAAAAAAAAAAAAAGTCAGGACTTCACTGGACATGAAGGCTGAGTTCACTGTAGTTTCCAGCTTTGGTTTCCAGGATTATTAGAGGTTTTCAAATGCAGTCGACATTAGCAAACATTCTGCATACTAAGAAGTGACCATTTGTTACCTGCTTCCCCTGCATCAGTTTGCAACATGGGTTTCTTACCTTTGTTATTGAGCTCTGATGTTTCTAAGCTACTTTGCAAAGTGCCAAAAGATCAGTCTCTTGTTAACTTAAGCCACAATTAAATTTTGTCTACCACCATAGGATAATTATAAGCTCAGCATGACACAYAGAGAACTTCACAGGCAAAGAAAACAGAGGGAAAAACATGCTGTGAAGAGGAAAAACTGTTTACATTAAATGAATGAAGACTAGAGTCAAAACTCATAAAGTTATTGGCAAAATAGATTGGTTTTACACATATCTCTTTCCCCACCTTTCCATCCACACGACAATCTTGTGTTTAATGCGTTAAAATTCAAGAGATCTGTAAGGTCTGAGGAAGGAGTACAGCATGAGCTCAAAGCATACAGTGACAACTGTCTTGTGATAAAACAGCAGAGCTTGTTAATCAAAGATGGTTTAGGCACTAAAACTACATTTGTCCCCACACTGCTGTGACATAATGAGAATTGCCATACTGTACAGATACTTGTTAACATCTGAATTAATGTTGTTTGAAATGGAGACRTAAGGCTATTTTTAGGTCATTAAATAATGTAAATGAAATATAATTAACTGTTTTGCGTGATGCAATATCACACAGAAATCCATACAAGGAGTAAAATATGTATTCAGCAATGTGGGGGTGTAACTCCTACTTTACCTTTCTAAGCATTTACAGACTACAATATTTGGAGCTGAGCAGCCTATATAATAGCAATATATTAATTTTTGCATCCAAGTCCACTATATTTGACTAGTGTTTGTTTCACAACTGAAGATGAATTAATATGTGCACCTGTRTAATGCTTGTTTTCTGCACTTTAGTGATAATGCATCACAGAAGTGATTAAAGGAAAACTAAATTGAAGGCAAATGCAAAAACACTGAACTGCCACCAGATTAATTGGCTGGAAGCAAATTGAAAGTAAGAAAAAGCCCCAAATGCATAAATTATTAAATACTATTTGGTTTTTTTWAAGTAATTCTGTATGCCAGAATGTGATGGTCTGAGACACTGAATAAAATGAGAGTTWAAAAAATCATAGGAAAATTGTTCAACTATGACATTACAATTCCCATTACATAGGGAGAGGGTAAAAGTTCCTGGCACAAATACCAACATGTGAACATATGGGTTCAACTCCAGGAGAAATTGTAAGAGAGAATTATTTTCCTTCCATACACTTGATTAGATTTACATAGGACTTAATATAACCCAAAATCTCTTCAGAGAAAGGAGGACTGAGATAACCATGCAATCTGCCCCTCTGAGGATTTATTTGTACATGCCCAGTGCCTCAGCAATGAGAAAAAATGAGCTGAAATAATCTGCTTTTTTCTTTTTTGGACATCATCATCCCATGGGAGTAGGACCTGACTTTTTTTACTTTCAGTGACCTCCAGTGCAGGGACTCTTTTTCTGTATGTAGGTCTCGTCTGCATTTTAATGACATTTTACATAATTTTACATTAGGATGCCACTAATTCTTTTAAAAGAACAATAGAACAAAATCTCAATGAAGGTACTTCAACAGCAATGGTGAGACCCAAAAAAAGCCCAAACTAAAAAGCCCCCACTATCATTTGTTAAATATGTGCTTTATAAGCAYGAATGCCTTGCTTCTAAAACTGGTGAAAAGGAGTGCAGCATTCACAGCTCCTACTACTCCAACTACTCACCAAGCCAGYGGTTAATTAAGTCTAGGGCATTATCCCAATTTTTACTTTAGAAAGAGTCATATTTCTACTAGCCGTGGTGAAGAAAACAGTAACTTGACTCTAAAAAAGAAACGAAATGCCCACACATACACAAGAAAGGCAACCTCTTAAAGTGCCCAGGATGTCAGGCTAATGACAGAATCATAAGATCAATTTTGATATTCCCAGGCTTCAGTACTTCCAGACACACATTGTTGCCAAAAACTGGAAATAAACTGGAGGCCAACAACCTGGCAGTGTCTTGGCCAGAAATCAGATGGGATGAAGGTTGGACTGGCCTCTTGCTGAATAAATGGAAAAGCAAAATTTGGACAGGCACAAGGACACCTTGCTAGAATTTGATTTACTTATGAATGTCACWTGGCTTTATCTTCCTTCTGACAGGAGGTTTGTTTTGAACTACAGAATGTTATTCACTAGGAAGTGATAATATCTGCAGGAGAAGATAAGGTATTGTCCTAAGGACTAATTGCACAGCTTGACTTTCTAAGTTGTTAGAAYAGATGAAAATGCCTCACAAAGGGGGACACAGGCATAAAACTGCTGGCATATTTTTCTACCTCGTTTTGAATAATAAAGCATAGCATACAAAATCATGATCTACTTGTAGATAATTTGTTAGTCAAAAAATTAGTTTAACAAATTGTTCCTTCTTGTAGGTAAGTTAAAGTTAAAATAAACATGCACACGCAGAGAGAATGAATCTGGAGGTGTTTATGACAGCAGGATATCTGGTAAGTACTAAAAAAGAAAAGATCAATTACTTATATTATCTCCCTTTTAAATATGTAGCTACACAAACACGTGGTCCTCAAGCAACATGGTACAAGATTGAAGTCAGCCCCGCTTTGAGCAGGGAGTCAGACAAAGTGATCTCCAGCGCCCCTTCCAACCTAACTAGACCTTGGATTCTATCAAATGCCCTCAATTAATAAGTTTATGCCAAACAATTCAGACATAACAGTCCATCTCAGGTCTATCACCAGAGATGGGCTCAGACTTGAGTGGAAGGGGCTGAAATCCTCTTTTAGCACCACAGTTCATCCTCATCCTCAGGCTGCCCCACCCTCAGGTTGCCCCACCAGGCCCCAGCTGCCTTGTCCTCACTTTYCACCTAACCCTGTACCAGCACTTGGCTTTTTCTTGCTCCTATTTATCTGCAAGTGGATGTGCAGCCCCTGAAAAGCCTGAACTGTGGTGTAATGGGATCTGAGTGACAAATGAAGGCAGTCAGAATGAGGGCACAACAGGGATCCTGTCCCCTCCCTCTTCCTCATCCCCCTCCAACTCAAATGCACCCCAGTGACAACAAGAGCACAATTCCATCTGCTGAGGGAGCTGCTCTCATCTCCTCTCACCCTCCCTCTGCACACACATGTGCTTGCATGTGGACTGYACACTCCAGAAGGCAGACACTGCTGGATTTTAATCCCCCCCAATTCTCTGATGGATTAARCCTCAAATCTCTAACCCTCCTTCTTAATGCTGTGGTAAGTAACACACRTGCTGGATACATTGATTTACAGCTGAAATAAAAGTAAAAGACAGACAAAACGAGATGTCTGAAAATCGATCTRTGCTGCAAGTGGATGGGACATTAAAGCATTCTGGATTATTTTCTCCTCCCTTCACTTTGCCCAGTGCCTGATGAAGCAAAAATCACTGTCTTCAGCAATAAAACCACCTACCTGTAACCCTTCAATGGCCAGTTTGAGGATAGATGGTGTAAGCTTGGAGGCTTGCTTGAAGGAGAAGTTGCTCCAGTCTATAATTAGAATGAAGCCATTTATCTGAAGCTCCTGATCTTCAATGAGCACTTCCAAGGAAAGTAGAATAGCCCGAAGGATATCTATGAAGGAGTTCCTAAAGCAAAAGCAGAAAAAAAAAAAAAACCAATGGTTGTAGTTATCTTCAAACCTCAAGATACTCAGTTTTGCTGTGGGTGGGGCATGAGTGAGGGAGAGGAATTTATTCTGGTAGAATTATCCTGAAAAGAGAGTTGTTTCAGAGGTGTCTTTAAAGAGCTCCTGCTCCAAAAACTGCTTGGTGTGAAAAATCCTGCTCACTGATGGACAAAATAAACAGTGAATGAGATGTCCTCAATTCTGCTAGCAGTCCCTGCAATAGTTTTTAGCTAAGCTACATTGGRAAACTATTTGTCTGTGATGAAATGAAATAAATCAAGTTTRAATCCTTGCTCATTTGGATATACTTTATCAATTTGTTGTTTGTTTCCCTTCTTTTCAGAAAAGGAAATAAATCAATACAATATTAATATAAGAGATATCATTACAACCAGGTTTGATGCCTTCCTGCTTGAGTGTAGAGAATGATCCAAGGCTTTACACAATAAAATTTGACAGTTGCCTTATTTTTGCAGACCAAACGCAATATGAAAAATGGCTGCATCCACTGAAAGTGAGAACTCTTTATTAATTATCAGCTACAATAGGCTGGCTGCAAGGCTTCCCTCAGCTCTGGCAGAATAATTAAAAATCTTGGAGGTCCTGAAGCATGTAGCAAGTAATGGAGAAGAAAATGTTGAAATGTTTTCTTTAATGTATAAGCCTGAAGTGGGAAGCCTGGGCTACTCACTCTTTCCATCTCAGGCATTTCACAAAAGTGAGAGTTGGACACTTTAATGATTTAGTCYAGATTTATACCTGAGCAAGCTCAATCTGTCCTTCCCATTAAGATMATTTACAAATAATAAATCCTATTAGAGAGCAACAAGCAAGGAAAGCTTCAGAAARTGCAGCTTAACCTTCTGTAAAAGGAAATTGTAAATACTGCTACTGCAACCAGCTTTACCTCAGCATAAYTCTCAAGTTTTCATGAGGCCTGAGGTCTTTTACAGGGAAGGTTCATACCATGTTCTCCCATGGAGATTTTAGTTTTGTTATTTTCTGCTTTTTTCATTTAAACAAGTCCTCCCAAACCTTCAAGAGKATTGTTTCAAATTCTGGCCAAGAGAAAAAACTTATGTACAGTCAAAACAAATTTCTCCACCATTAAGACCACTACCCCTGAATGATATCACACAAGGTAAATTTCTGTTAAAAATAAAAGCTGAACTGTTCTCTTATTCCTTCTCTTTTATCTCAGCAGATTTTGAGTGGAAATGTAAGTCCCTTTTTWAAAGACCCAATCCCTTGAAAAAGCTGCTTCTGCACTCTGCCTTTCTGCAGAAGTACAATTGCTGGGGCAATAAATAGAGCTTAAAGATATATAATATTGTTCTTGCTGCATACCAAGTCACCACTCCCTCATTTACAGTTACAGGATAATCCTGACCTTTTCAAATGCTCTGGGGAAGCTGTGCCAAATGGCCCAACTGAAGGAGCATTTCCTCAGCAATATCAGGTGACAGCATACTGATTGGATTGGCAATTGGCTTGTACTTTCGGTCTAAATTTACTTGGAAAAACTTATTAGTACCTATGGCCCAGCTGAAATGGGTGATGACTTTCAAGCAGCAGCACCAGATGACTCCACTTTCAGTGGTGAAGGAAAAAAATTACCCCTAAACCATATCTGCTTATTATATCCTACACCRCCCCAGCATCCTTCAGGGTGTTTTTCTTTCCACAAGAACAGCTCCATGAAAGCTCCCATGTGTGCTGTGGTTCCAAAAGTGTCCTCACATACATGTCAGCCTTCTTTGCACTCTTGTTGGCATCAATTCAGAATGATATCAGCATTCATGGATGGGCTCTCTGGCTACACTGGGGAAGAGGGAATAATCATGACCYCAATCCCACAGTTGCAAACCTTAGAATTTCACACCTTATTAGCAAAGGTGTGAAAACATGGCTACATGGTGACAAAAACGGTTTAATCCTTCATTTGTGGGAAGAAGTTTTCTTAAGAGTACATTCACACTTACATTCATGATCCTGCTATCAGTGATTGTTTTACAGTCTGTGTAATGATTCCAGCAGGGCTGTCTGGAAATGGTGCACACAAGGCATCTTCTGTAATCCACTCAAACTCTAAATGGAARTATTTGAGTGCAAAATCTTTGCCTCAGACTCTGTGCTGAGGAATTCCAGCTGTTCTTTGGGTGTCTACATAAATTTCTGGTTTATCCAGCAATTACTCACCGGTACTTCCCCGTACTTTCAGTAGAAATTATTTACCTCGGACATAGAGCACTCAATTTTTCTTTTGTTTGCAACAAATCTGACTGCCCTGCCTGCATCCCTCCCCTCTCTATGTATCTGCAATTTTAAGACATGGTGTAGGAAATAACTCAGAGTGAACACAAAGATGTTTTTCTGTGAGTACAGGGAGACATGAAAGCAGCACACAAGCCCTSCAGGTGGGTTGTTTGCAGACACAGTGTTCTGTGAATGCAGAGCTTGGAGAGAAATCAGACAGAGTGCCACTTGAGGCTGAAGCCCTCTGCTCCCTCGTCTTGGGGCTTTGAGACAAATCATTCAGCTGTGTGACTGATTTGCATCCAAATAATTTTCTATGCATGAACGTAGAACCACTTTTTATTAGTCCATCTCTTTTGTTCCTTTGCTTAATGTTCCATTTCTCTCCTCCAATCCCCCTCCCCACCAGTTAACCCTCACACACAGAAAAAAAAACAAAACAAAAAAAAAAACCAAAATAAATTACTATTACACAAAGGGAAATGTGTAAGGTCCTGTAAGGATTCAGCATGGAGCCTACTGAAGTGAGCCRCTAATGAGTTACAAAAGATTTGCACGGAGCTCCAGAAAGACAAAAAGGAGGAGGGAGAGAGAGWGMCTCTCTGCCTTGGCTGAAAGGAAARGTACCACAAAAGAGGCTCTTCAAATACCCTTCGGAAAATGGGAAGTTAGCACAACATAAGCTAGTGGTAAGGAACAATAATGTAACACAAAAAATGAAGATGGTTTAGCTGAGGGATTTGGTGGAGAGATTAGCCAAAGGCATAACATGAAAATAAATAAGAAGAAATTGCTTAATTATGAGAGGTGTAAGCAGGCTGTGAGAGAAACAGAAAGCTCAGTGGAGTACCAGGGTGCAATGGGAACAATTAYAGGGGATAAAGACATTGCAAGGAAATTAAATGATCTATTTGCATGTGTCTGCCACTAGTCATTTTTAAGAGATCCATGGATAACAAAGCTGAGGGACTGTTGGAAAATAAGGGGTCAGCTAAGACATACTGAAATAAAGCGATACATTTTGGAGAAGATAGCATCAGTAAAAGCTTATGACATTACTCTTTCTGAATAGCTCTGTTTTRGGCATGCTAGGGAAATTAATTGGATTATTCAGATAGTTAAAAGCATGAAGGTACAGAAGTACTGGCAGCTGAAGCCATTAAGATTGTCTGGTAGTAAGCAAAAAACAAATTGTCACTACAAATCCCGACCATCCCAGAAGACAGCARGCTAAAAAAGTTTGGACCAGTGCCRCAATCTTGGYAGYTGCAGACAATTCAGCTTAATATCTCTTAAGTTAGTATGCAGTAAGTCTCTCTCCTTTAATACTAAAAAAGTGGCTAAAGGTCTATAACATTTTTCAAGCTGCAAACAGGGGCATAGAAACAAATCAAGTAAAAGAACACATCTTTCTTTGTTCCCTCCATATACAAAATCCCATCAACAGGGATGATTCCTGTGAGAAGATGCTGGAAGCTTCCACCATGTCCAGCAGAGCCAATTTCTGAAGGCTCTGAGGATGGACATGCCTCTGGCCAAGGCTGGGCCAGCTGGAGATATTGGTTACGCCTCTGTGATGACACATTTTAGAAGAAAATCAAAATAAAAGTTGTGGCRCAATTTTAATCCCAGCCAGAGAAGAGGAGGAGGTGGGAAAGTGTGAGGGAACAACATGGAGACACCAAGGTCAGTGGGGAAGGAGGGGAATGGGGTGCCCAGGTTCTGAAGCTGAGATTCCTCTGCTCCTGATATCCTTCCTTCTGTGGTGATGGCCATGGTGGAGCAGCTGTGCCCCTGCAGCCCATGGGACCCACAGGGGATGCAGAGATTCACCTACAGCCCATGGGGAGGTGCCCACATCATAGTGGGTGGATGCCTGGAGGAGGCTGTGAGCCAGCCGTGGGAGACCCATGGAAAGAGAGGGAGCCCTGATTCCAGCCTGGAGCAGCCTGTCCTTGGAGGACTGTACCCCATGGACAAGGAACCCACACCACAGCAATTTTGGGATAACTGCTGCTGGTGAGATTGGGACCGTGCTGGAGAAGTTTACAAAGAACTGCCTGCCAYGGGAAGGACCCCATGGTGCAGCAGGGGAAGGGCTCCTCTCCCTGAGCAGTGGAAGAAAACCTCAGGGGATGAATGAGCAAAACCCCTAGGCCCTGTCTCCCTGTGCTGTTGGTGGGAATGAGGGAGGGGTTGAGGGAAAAAATTGTTTTTAAGGGCTTATTTTGCTCTCATTATTCTCCTCTGACTTTGTTAGTAACAAATTGGCTTTGTATCTCTAAGTTGAGCCTGTTTTTGCCCTTGTAATGTTTTCTCCCAGTCCTTATTTCGACTCATGACCTCTTTGTTACGTTTTCTCTCCTCTGCCCAGCTGTCACATGGGAGGGTGAATGAATGATTTTCCTAGGTGCCTGGCATTTGGCCAGGGTCAAACCACGACAGCCCCTCACTGCAAGAAGGACACTGAGGTGTGGAGCACACCTACAGAAGGGTAATGGAGCTGCTGAAGAGTCTGGACCACAAATCTTGTGAGGAGYGGCTCAAGGAGCTGAAGGTGTTTAACCCAGAGAAAAGAAGKCTCAGGSGAGATCTTAYTGCTCTCTGCAGCTAGGTGAAAGAAGTTGTCGAGGTGAGGGTCAGTTTCTCCACTCATGTAACAASTCATAGGACAASAGCAAAYRGCCTCAATTTGCTYCAGGA